CGCCTCGTTTTATACATTATCCACGTTCTGCGTGCGTGCGTGTGTGTGTGCCTGTCTGTGTCTCTGTATGTGTGAGTATGCAAGACGCATATATCTACTTGTATATGTAAACCAATCCAATTCCATTCACTCGCAGCCCCCAAAAAGCGCATTGTACTCGGCGCCACTCGCTCAATTAGTAAAAAAAGAGTATATTGGCTTTTAGGCAATGTTTGTCTTGCTAAGTGTCTGTCTGAGCGAGAGGGTATTCTTATCCGATATTGTGTTTGAGTTTAGTTTGAGTAAAGAAAACAATATCGATTACAGCTTAGAGTTAAATTTCCCAAGTTTGGAGCAAAATTGAGTTCCTTTAATAACCTCTTCTTTAGATTAGATAAATTTTTGAATATAAATTTGAAATATCCCGAACGAGTATTATGCAGTCAATTGCAATGTTTTGTCTCGTTTTTATATGACGTTTGGTTGTTTTTTGTTTCTTCTTTTTGGGTCTGTGAAAAGCCATTTTCATTTTCCTTTTGAGTGCTAGACTGGCAAAAAAAAAAAATATATATATATAAAACATATACATATGTATATAGATATATAGAAGAGAGAGTAAGCAAATAAAAGATTGTTAATTAAATTGACTGGCTTCGTTTTTTGTTGCTGCTTTTTTCCCTGTTGCCTCTGTTTACACTTAAGTGATGCGATGGAAATGCTGGAACACGGTTCATGGCCATCTAAATGTACTGTATACTTAATTCTCTCTTTTGCTCTTTCTTTTTTGGCAAAGATCTAAAGTGTTTGCATCGCATATAATATCAATAATAATACAATTCAATTTTTAACTTATGCATCTTCTTTCTCTTTCTCTTTTCAATTGTGTATTTCAATTTTCAGTTGCCCGGATGGATACCATGGAAAGCGCTGCGAGTACAGTACGGCCAGTATGTCCATCAATAATCCCATATGTGGCGTTAAGTATTATGGAGGGTATTACTGCTAAAATAGGCACTTCTATAGCATCGATTGTTTTAGATCGAGTTACCGATAAACCAAATCCAAAAACAAAAACGAACAAAAAACTAAGAAAATATAAATCAAATAAAAATTAAAACAAAGATATTTCAGTTAACCAGTTCATTAAAGAGAATGACTATAGTATATCGGACCACACATACATATATAAACCAAATATAGTTGATAACACACACACACACACTCACATAAGCATACACACTCAAAGTACAAATACAGAGTATACCAGGCAATTCAATCAAATCCTTAGATTCAATCAAATAAAAATCCCATTACCTCCTTACACCACTTTCATAACATTTATCCAGTACTTGAGCTCATCTTCTATTTTCGTTTTTTTTTTATTAGAAAACACATTCCAAAAAGCAACAAAGCAAAGTCTTTAATCTAACAAAAGTTTGCTCTTTTTTAAATAAAAATAATATTACACAAAAACTAAACTAAACTAAACTAAAAATTGATTAAAAATAAACAATATATATTATAGTGCGAATAAAAAAATGGTGCTATAGAAGGTTTATTTTAAATAGTTATTACATATAGGCAAACTATTTTTATTTAAACGAAAAAAATTAAAACAAATATTCTCTTTAAAGTAAATGTTAAAAACAAATAAAAATTTTGATTTTCTATTTACACAACAACAAAAAAAACAAAACAAAACAAAACAAAGCAAAAGAAAATTAAATTAGAATGCAACTCACTTGACTTAAAATCAATCAAAAATAATTACACAGACAACAGAATACCTACCAAATACTGAAATATACTTGTCGAACCATTCAATTGGCGCAGCCTACACTCATATGGAATACCTATATACTTATAACGATAACGATAACAATATAACAGTAAACGGAGGCTCTCTTAAGTTAGTTATTCTTTGCAACATATGGCAACCCTAATCAGCCTATCAAATAGCTGTCGCCAAAGTACAGTCACCGCTATAAAAACCCAAAAAAGCACGGACCGAAATTTTGTTTTGTTTTCGAAAAATAACCTTTTTTTGTAGTTTGCAACATACGAAAAAATTTAAATAATACAAAACAAAAAAAAAAAAACAACTCGATGCGATGTAACGACATAAAAAATAATATACATATACTTATTGAATAACAATAATTATTTCTTTGCAATTAATTTAGTTCTTTAGTACACGTACATACATTTTATTTTGATTTTTTACTATCCAACATTATATCAACACTTTGGCTGTAGATTTTGACAAAACCAAAACACAAAAAAAAAAAAAATGAATAAATAAAACAAATCAAAAACGAAACAAACAACATATCATACGCTCTCCTTAAAATATTATTTATCTGGTGGTTGTTTATCAATAATAATTATTGACTAATCTTTTGCGTTCTTCCCCTTACCTGTATTTTGTTTTGGTTTACCTCTGATCCACTGTTTGTATTCCTACTTCTTAATTTAATTACTTTTTCATACATAACGCAAAAGAGAAGCTTTATTTGACTTCAACATCATGCATGAATAAACTTGTTTGGTTCGCAACGGAATCTGTTTTGAGCGCTAGTTCATGTTAGTATTTTTCTACTCTGAACCCATCGAAAATGGGAAATCACGGTATAATTGTTTTGTTAGAATGTATGTAACAGGCAGAAGGAGGCGTGGTAGACCCCACCAAGTATATACATATATTCTTGATCAGGCGACAAGCTGAGTCGATTTGGCCCTGTCCGCCTGTCCGTCTGCCCGTCTGCCCGTCTGTCCGTATGTTTGAACACGTCGATCTCAGAAGATAAATTAAATTTTTTTTTTTATTTTGTCCGTATATACATACAGCGCGCATATCAAGTTTATCACTTAAAATCTCATCCCGTTATTTCTTTTAATGATTAAAAATCGTTTTTATGCGTCCGTTTGTATGCCTGTGTATGTGCGTGTGCATGTGCGAAAAATTATTGAAATATCAGTTGCTCGAAGGGTTCAGAGGATCTCGTAGTCGAGCAGTCTCGACTAGAGCTTTCTTACTTGTTTGTCTATTTGCTTGGTATTAGGACAGTTAGTAATGAAAAAAAAAAAAAAAAGAGAAAATGAATTAATTTAATTTTTATTTATGATTTAATCTCTTCGCAGATATTTAGTTGCAATCTACGGCCAAACACATACCTTAAATAATGACTATTTTAATGCATAGAATTTTTATTAAAATAAAGTAAAAAAGCAAAAAAAAAACTCCCTGCACTCCAACGCCGGCAAATGTAATTTTTTTAGTATTATGTTTAAAAAATTCTACAATTTGTTGCCACATACACACACACAGACAAATACTCACAAATATACACATGAAATATAGAAGAACTTTAAAAATTGATAAACATTTACCAAAATTACTTGCAACTACAAAAAGAAAATTAAATTTAATAATTTCAAAACAAATATAAATTAATCCGCTACAGACTGAACATTTTCTTGTACTTTTTTGGCGTTTGTGCACGGTGACAGAATTTTTTGTATGAAAATTTAAATCGGAATTTATTTATTGTACTTTGTATTGCGAGAAATACTAAAAAAAAAAATTAAATTACATAATGAAAGATAAGAAAAGATAGCGATTGACCCTGACACTGACATTGTTGCGCTTTTGTTGTTGTACCATAGACATATATGTATAAACATAGATATATTTTATACATATATAATATATAAACCATATATAGCATGAACTTGTAATAAACCATGTATATACATATACATATATATAAATATTTATATATCTATATATATATTTCTATTTTCGTTATAATTCACAATAAGTTTCATGTACATTTCTAATAAGTTATAAAATCGTAAAAAAAAAAGAAAAGAACTTAACAATAATTTATTTTTTATCTTATGAAATAATAATGTAAAACTTTATTATCTAAGTACTCGTACATAAATACTTAATTTTGAAACTTTCAATTATTTCCCATTTTATAGTTTCTTTTTAATTGTAATGTAAAATGCGAACGTAATTATTTTTTTTTTATGTATATGTTGAGAAAAGAATTTGTAATTCTGTTGGATGAAGAGATTATTTTTAATTAACTTAAGAAACAAATTTTAATTTAATTATTGAAAGATTTATACCAAAAATACTATGTAAAGTTTAATTTTAATTGAAAAACAAAAAACGATGCGTAAGAAAAAAAAAATGTCATTAAAAATTTGCAAATACTTCACAATTTACAAATTTATTTCTTTTACAATTATTAAATTTTTATTTATAGTTAAACAATTACAACAATTATGAAACAAATACAACATTTTTCATTGGGTTTTTCTTTCTCTTCGGACTTTTGTTTCTAAAAATGGAATAAAAAAAACTCGCAATTAAGAATATGCTTAATTTCTCGACAGGTTCAACTTACAATATGGCCTTTGGCAACAATCAAAGCCACCGCTGGATGAGAAGCAATGCGAAATAAGCTCTAGTGTCATGCAAAAAATCATTTCTGTAGCAAACATGGATCTCATGATTATAAATAATTTGAATATGGCTTATAAAATACATATATTTGTTGAGAGAATAACGCTGGCTATGAATTTTACTTTTGAATTATCTTTAAATTGCGCCAAAAGTTTGGTATTTATGTCGATATTTTTGGCACCAGTTCAGCCTATCGACTAGGTCTAGTCGGTCGTATTCTTATCGTGCTTATGAACTGCTAAGGAATGGTGATTCATGACTGATTCATTCAAGAACGAAATAGTTTGGGACATTTTAAAACTAACTGTCATTATACATTTTGCGATACAATACAATAAAATGATTTTGAGAACTAATATAAATTTTGTTGTTAGTTTTTTGGCGGTAATAATCTAGCGTTTTCGAATATCAAGTCTACTTTTGGTATTTTTGTATTTTGACAACTGATTAATATATATCGAACTAGTGAACAAGGTAAACGTGTCGTTTCGTGACTGATTCTTTGAACCCAGCTAGCTAGTTCAAGATCGGAACTGTAAAGATAGCTTCAAAATTTAGCGGCTAAAATATAATAAAAAGTTTGATATTGTCAATTTTAATAAAGTTCGCTGACCAATATGTCAACAGCTCAAGCAACCAAGAACTGCATCACGCTGAAGGGTTCAGCCCAAATAATTGTCGAGTACTTAAGTAAGTATAGAAACTCTAACAACAAGAGCATCAACGACGCCTATAAAAAAGCGCGATCTAAATGGCGTCGTGCCTTTGTTTATTTGCAAAATTAGAATACGGCATCAATTCGATATTATTCCAACGTGGTATTTACCCAGCCGAGAACTTCGATAGCACGCAACAATATGGTTTGACCATACTAATGTCCAAGGATCCAAAGATCACAACATTTTTGCAGAATGTTCTGAAGCAAACTGAAGGTTAGTTCAATTAAATTTTACATTTATCTAAAACGGCTTGAAGCAGCAGCTGATTTTCATTAATCTGTAGAATGGCTTTCAAAGAACATGATTAACAAAATTTCGATGGTCATTACGAATGCGCATACTAAGGAAGTTCTCGAATGTTGGGACTTTAAGATGCAAGCGGAAGTTGGAGATGGCGATAGCGATGGCAAGGATCCCAGCAAGCAGACTTCGTCCAAACAGCTGAGCCGCATACAAAACGAGATTAGAGATGTGATGCGGCAGATATCAGCAACTGTTAGCTATCTTCCTTTGCTCGATTGCATTTGCACCTTCGATGTGATGATCCATACCCTACAGAACACTGAGATACCTGCACAGTGGGACGAGACTGGCGCCGTATTTATACAAAACGCACAGGCGGTGCAGTTGCGCTCGTTCTCCACGGGCTTGCACAAGGTTGACACGGTGGTCAATTATAAAATGAGCTCCTAGTGATATATAAACTTTTAATATTTATTTTGTTTCTATTTACATAAGTTAAGTCACACATTTGCGAATTATATTAAAAGCCAATTATGAAATGGGGCTAATAATTTCAATGGTAGTTGAGCTCCGCATCCTTCTCCACCGATTTAAATGACATCTAGAGCAGGAGAGAGAAGTTTTAGTAAGAAAACTAAACAACATAAACAACATAACAAAATATAGGTTAGTAGGACCAAATAGGATTTGGTTGGGATGGACAAGATAACCAACTCTACCTATCCTAAGCAGAACTTAGTCGTCAAGTTTTTTGGGAGCTGTTGCTGCCTCTGCTTTCTTTTTGCAATGTTGTGGCTACGTAGTCTAGTCAGTACCAAAGTATTTCTGGCCAAAGTGGTTGGGCGCCACCGGATGCAGCTCCGAAGTGAGAATCTTCATTTTGGGAAACGCTGTAACCACGGTACGAGCGGCAGCGGGTGTGCAGAACAGATTCGATAATATAATGCATTTCTCTGGCACGCCGTGCTCTCGCAGTACATTCACAGCCTTCAGTACAGTGTTGCCCGTGGACATGATTGGATACATGAGCAGCACCTGACGACTGCCAATGTCATCGGGAAAACGTGCATAGACAACGCGTGCCTCATGTGTATTGGCATCCGATTCGACCAAGATCTTTCCAATTCTTATCGAGCGACAGCAATCGCGTAATCCTTGCTCCATGGCCTCGCCAGAGCGTATGATGGACACACCACAGTTGCCGGAGCGATATTTCAGACCCTCATAGATGGCACCCGTTGGAGTTTCGACATCGCAATCTGTGTAAGGCAACTGATTGAGGGATTCCTCAATGACGAGCCGTATTAGCCGGTCTGCATAAAATTTGAAGTCGCTTCGCGTGGTATTTCTGTATATAATGTAAGTATGGATTGACAGTCGAGTTCCAATTCAGTTAAACAGATACTTACTTGTCGCGTATAATAGTGAGCAGCTCGGCAACTTGTGAGTTTAATGTAAGCAGCTTTATATTTTCACCATAATCGGCGAGCACTTCTTCGGGAGTGCACGATACAATTGCAGTGCTCTGAATCTGCTCTGGCTCTTGTTCGGTAGATGAGCGTTGTTCTTGTTGGTTATCATTTTCACTGCTCTCTTCAGCTTGCGAGCCATTGCTGCTGGGCGATCCACCAGTACACATTACTTTTTGATTATAAATTGCAATTGAAATTGGAAATTGATTTGCCAGCTTTGTTTTGCTAGCGTGCCAGCATAAGTGAGTCGATGTATCGATTCATCGCAACGATTATATTCATATCGTAGCAATTTGTACGTAGGCATCGATAATGCTGGTATGATGCTTGTCAATTATCGATAGACGCAAATAGTGTAATCGCTGTCCCAACTTACCTCGTGTTCTGGCTGCAAACAAAGAAAAAGTGCATTTTAATTGTTATTAAATTACATTTAATTTAATTTCAATATTTCTACGTGAGCGCGCGTGTGGGCTAGCGTTGAGCAGCAACTTACGGGCGCCTCTAAATGCGTCTCATGGTCGCGTAAACGTCTCTGTGTGTGCGTGTGCGTGTACGTGCGTGTGTATTGGCATTGTGTGGCTGTGGCATTGGCGCTCCGCTTCTGCTGCTGCTGTTGCTGCTGCTGCGCCTTAGTTTCCATTCATATTCTATTAACTAATAAACAAATAACCTTCGGGACCGCATCGCATCAGTCCGAGTAAGCCAAAATTAATATCAAATCACAGCATTGACAGGAAAGTGCGTTTCGTCGTTTCCCTTACAGCCGCTGCTCTGGTCTGTTTCCGTATTGTTTGAGCAGCAGCAGAAGCAGCAACAAATTCAATTGAAAAAGTAAAATCAAAAGCGAAAAAGAAACAGAAAAAAGTAAAACCATAGTGTTTTGCTGTGTTTGAGCTTGTGTGCGTGCGTGTGAGTGTGTGCGTGTGCGTGACGACAAACACAACGACAAATGGCGGACGTAAGTGACACAAGTGAACTCTTCGATCTCGAGCTGCACGAGGATGAAAAAGCGCGAGACTCGGACGACGACAGGATCGAGCTAGATGATGTGAGTAACAGAATTAACTACGCAGCACCAGGCCATCAGAACACCCACCCTTGTACCCTGCTGTGCTCGCCCATACAAGTGCTGCACGCACGATTTTTCTCTTTGTTTACCTTCTCCGCTTTGTCTGGGTCCCCTCCCCCCGCACAAAGAGAAAAGCAGAGGGAATATTTCCTCTGTTTTGGGCACTGAACTCTGCGTCTTATCTGCTGCGCAAAAGTCCACCTCAGATGCCAAGCGCGGCGTCAGCAAAGTTTTCCATATATTCTTTGTGAAATACATTCTTCAACAATTATCGCTCAATTTGATTGTAACATTGGGCAATCGTATCGCGCTATACACAAATGTCCTTCAAAAAATAATCAGTATCAATTACTTACGCCCACACACACATTGAGACACACTCACACACACACACAAATGCACACTGACAGACAAACATTAACTTGTATCAATCGTACCAAGTGCAACACCTTATGTTTTGAATTGGCAGTAGAATGGTCTCATTTTCAGAGATTGAGTACGCAAATTCCAGGAAATTATATTCATATTATGTATAAATATATATGTATTTGTCAGCTGAGCAGGGAAAAACAGTTATCTTATATTTGTCGAAGATTAGATACTCTTACCTTGTCTTGACTTGACACATTATAAGATAATTTGCCTGGGATGCCAAACAAGCACTATTAAGTTGTTATATAAAAGGGTTTTCTTGGGTTGTTAATGAAATCTTGATTCCATTAAATAGAGTAAAAAAACCTTCTTGACTCAGTCTTGAGTCATTCATTCGCTCTTCTTCATTCAAAGCTAAACTTCCACTTAAAAGGGAATGAAAAATCTTATCAGGGTATAAAACAAAATTGGAAAACGAAAAAAACTATATAATATAAAATAAAAACGGCATTGTACTTTACTGATAAGGCGCAACTAATCAAAAAAACAGAAAAAAGAACGAAGAAAACGAATGGAATCGTGTCGATCGGCCGCGTGTGCAGCTCTATTTATTTTGTATTCATTTTCGTGTCAATTGATAATGCAATTGGTGAACTTGCCGTATACCCATTGAAAACGTTTTAAAGTGGATATTATAGGCTTCTTAGTTGTTTTAATTAATTCCAGCTCTAGCTAGGGTATGTTCTAGTCGCCAATGTGTTGCACTTATTGCCTTTTGTCCCAAATGTCATAAGTACTTGTAACTGCTGAGTCTGAGCAGGCGCACGCCCTCGAAATGTGGATATTATAAATTATGATTGATTTGTTAATTGAAATTCGGCGCCAGCATTGCGAAGCTTGAACCAGTTGTCGTTTCAGTAAAATGGATTTACTTGCAACACCCGCACATTCACATGTGTAATTATTTGTGTATATATATATTTATACATATATATATATATAGATTGCATATAATGACGAGTTCCCCTTGCGATTCCAAACTGAGATGCTGTCTAGCAAGTCTCCAAGTCTCGCCCCTAAACGGAGAAACAAACGTCTCGGTAGCATCCGCTGCCGCTGAATAGCCGGCAGAGTATTTGGCATTATTCCGAGTTCTAATTTTAGTTTGTCATTAAAGAAAAGGTGTGCGTGTGTGTGGAGAAGTGTCTGGCTTTATATACATTTATATACACACACATATACATATAAATACAAGCATATTTACACATGTACACATTGGCGATCTACAGCAAACGCTACGCCCGAGGCTAAACGGAATTTTTATACGCCTCGTTCTGCGTCGGCGTTGCCGCGATTAACGATTTCTCTGCTCCAAAACACTTTCTCTGAACAAAGAGCGCATCACAATTTGTCTCTGTCATTAAGACGCTTCGCCCAGTTCCAGGTAGACGCAACTTTCCTCAAAGATCATTTGCCCAAATCCTAAAAGCTTTAAGTTTAATTGGCTGTGGATGCTGTTTCTCTTAAGTCTCAGTTGAGAATGATCTCATAGGAGAGCTCTAATAAGAAACACAATAACTTTTGTGACTATATAAAATTTGAAAGGATCTACGTCTAATTTATAGATTTCACAGTCTCAGCTAGGCAATAGTAAATGTCAAATATGAAAATTTAACCAGCTTTAGGTATAACTCCCGTAGCTCTCAACGATATACCTGTTGATCATTTATCTCCGTTTGTTTACAGACTGATTATCTTAATACTATTTACGGTGTGAGCATTTGCTACAAACTCTTGACTAATCGTTCAAGTTTTTACATTTCTGTGACTCATTTGCATATTGTTGATTCTTCTCTTATCTTCCTTTCTCTCCCTCTCTCTCTCTCTGTCTGTTTTGCAGGTCGATCTAGAACCGGAATTGAGCATAAACCTACACCAAGAGTGAGTAATATGAAAGCTATGTCCGCTGGCGGGGATGGGACTGCGATTTCGATACGCGACGTAATTCTCTTCTGAGAACGACAGCCGAGTAAATGTTACGGGAAGGGGGTATACCCATTCGTGTAATAGCCATTTCCCAAGTATCGACTGGATGATAGTCTGCTTGGGCTGGGCAATGTATTAATTGCCACACACGCACTCATATTACGATCGGGGCAGAAGGCACACCTGACGCGGCGGCGGACATCGGCGGCAGCTACTCGGACTGATAACAACGCGGCTAGCTTTGTCATGTGGCAGAAGTGTTTACAACTGGCAATTGACTACCTACCAACAAGCTGTTGTTGGCTCGTCTAATGGGCAATATGCCAGCCGTGCCAGCCAGTCAGTGTACAAACACTTGATATGTTGATGGAGTGAGCTGGTGGTTGGCCAAGATGAGAGGGGGTGGGCACTGCTACGGGATTTGGGGGCGCCAATTGGCGCGTGTTTGCCAACGTTTTTATTTATAGAACGCGTGGGTTGTCCATTTCCCACGCTGGCGGCAATGCACACTAAATCTAAAACACATTTACTAAACTAATCGTGTCTGTAAATTTGCTCCTCTCTACTACCTTTCGCCCTCGGTATATTTATTTATCGCTAAACAGCAATGAAGGCCAGGAAAC